CCAATCTTCCTTCTCCACTAAATCCGAGCACATCACACCACAAAGCAGCACAAATGCGCACAAAATAATTGTATTTGATGAGTGTCAGGACCGACCTTTATTACAGAACCTAACTTGTACCATCTCCTCAAATGTGCCCTTTTCGTATCTGACAAAATGTTTACTTGGGGATTCTGAGGCACGCGAACAGTGATTATGTTTCCAACATCCCTGGTAACTCACCACCATTGCAGAAAAGCATATCAATGGCAACGTCCCGATATCAACCTGACTCAAAAATAGCATACGCATTTAAGTATACACTCCCGATTTCAGTTAACTAGTCCCATCCAGAGGCTGATGTGCAACTTGTATTGGTCGAGAAGTAGTCAATTCTAAGCAGTGGAACATCTAGGAAGTAATTCCCAATGCTGCTCACAATGGGAACGAAACAGTGGATCCACCGAAAAGGACAAGTTGCACCAATGATATCTTCCTCCTTCCGGCAGACAACAAGCGTACAGCGCCCTTCGCTTGCACGCCACCGGTTCCCAATGCACCGACTACGTCGCGATGGCCAATAAAGAAGAGGGGTTATACGATGCACTAAATGCGAAATGGCAAAGTGGGGCGATATTTTTACTCAAACTGCATGCTCAACTACACAGACTCATCACTCCCCCATTCCCGCTTGCATTTTTGCCATCTTGGCAGCATAATCATCCGCCTAGCCCATAGCCTTCAAGTCCTCCTCCACGTCCATAAATACTAAACTCCATTCACAGCGATAGGCCCAAGCAGGTCCTCAAGGTGCAACTACTTCGAGACGCACCACATTAAAAGTCGCGTCAGTCGCACATTCACCACTCCTTCAGAAAGACTTGCATTTGCAGAACTGTACAGGTTGAAAAAGTAAAAGCGATAATAAGAAAGCTAGACTGTTAAAAGTGGGAATGAATGAAGTCAACCAAATTGTTGAGGATGGGTAAATTTTAACCCATACCCCTTTCAACTGTTAAAAGGTGGGAGATAGCAGCGGTGGAAGCAATTAGTATTAAACGGAAAGGAGCTTTAGGTGAGAAGAACGCAAAACAAACTAATGGGAGGAGTCACTGAAGATTGTACAGTCGCAAGTATTCCCCTAAAATTGTGTCCATTTGCCGGTGCAGTCGCTGATCTTCAGGGAGCTACTGGGAACTTCAGCGTTCTCGAAGTCAATGCACAGTTCCAAGGTATTCCACGCAAAGACATCGCACATGATCGTTGACACGGGTTTACTACCCTTCCATTGCATGCGTAAAAAGTTTTCACCATCTCTACTTCCCGATGACAATGCTTCTGGGCATGTGAAAATGCATGAATTCTCACCAATCGAGGAAGTTTTTAGAATGAATGGAAATGTATGGATCTTCATGTAATGGAAATACACATCCTAATGCAATCTTCTTGTCGACATTTACCAAATGGGAACCAATATGCTGTGAATATCCACCTTCTTTGAATACGAGGTGCAGGATTCATCCTTGCAACCTAGGTTTGGGATAAAGAACGAGCAAGCAGTGTGCAGTGGGTGAAAGCTGCTACCTCTGTTAAAAATGCAAATCAGTCTATCCCATAAGTCAATTGCCGTTAATTGTATTTCCACTTCTTCTTTACGAATAAGTAAAATATCAGATGTGAAATGGCCAAATCTACTTTCTCCACAGGCAGGATTCTGATATAGTACCACTAAACACAAAGGCCGCATTTCTGAGCGCCTCATAGGGACGGATGAAGTGACCAATACAACCATGCAGGTACTCAATAGAGGATGGAAGGAAAGTGGAGGCCACCACAATTCTTTCTACACCTCCTCATACCTGATTACCTATTGTACACTACTGTTTGAGCAGTATTTCAACATGAAAACGCATTTGAACTGTCCTGCTCGGATTTGAAGGGCCAAACGATTCATTTTGGTGAAGCGCAACTAATTATAACTCAAGGTTAAGTCATTATGATTTCGGGATTGTGGTGTATGGGAATATGAAGTGGTGCGTGAGACCAACAGACTGCATGCACTGTAACCAACACCACATGGCCAACGTCGAATAGATAATGTTCCGTGGCAAGCATGTACTGGACGCCAATTAACTTCGGCAGTAAAATTAGGCATTTGGGTTCAGACCACAGGTTACTGGTGGATTAAACACTGACATTCTGGTGGTTTGAGTGAATTTAGGCAATTTCACCCCAATTCGAAGGATAAAATCTCCTCATAAACAAGAAACCAGTGAGTCTACAACAAGGGCGTTATCGTGTTTACACGGCTTTGAGGCAAAGTTATCTAGGCAGTCATTTTCCACCGACTGGGGGCCACGACTTTTGATGAAGTATGAGGTATGATAAAGAGACAACGCTACACCTAAGCTAACGCCCTCGAATGCAATTTCAAAAAATCCCCAAAATACAGTATTTCAAATCTAGCAAGCATCACAGGGTCGGTGGAAACTAATAAGCAAACAGATGAACTTTGCCACTTATATTTCGGTTTAACAACGAAATTAGAGATGATCACGTGATCTAAGCTAGTGACAGTTACGTGGAACGTTCTCCATGACAAAAAATAAAAAGACATTTAAAAGAGAGATTCAAACAGACAGTCAATTATCAATGGCGGCCTATGCATATTAGTCCGATAACATCTCCACTATCACCGTACTTCTACCTCAAAAATAGATCAGTTTTTAAACGATGAAAGGGTATTAAGGATTCATCGATTCATTCGTCGATGTTGAATACGAATTTCAAGAGTAGATCATGGAAGGCCCTTTAACTGATAGCATGGCAGCACTTTCATTGGAGTGTCTAGACCTACCCTTCAATCTTACTCGGCTTGAAATGGTGAAGACGGATTTCATGAGATGAAGTAAAATAACCCTTTGTAAGAAATGACCACCTAAATTTAGCCTCTGATGGCGCAATAGGCGTCATGTTACAGAAATACGAAGCAAAACAATAGAAAAATCAAGGTTCTAAATTAGGCTAGCAAAGCAACGTTCAGCCAAATAGTTGCAAAGCTGACGATTTAAATATCACGCAGTAGAACTCAACACTTTCTAGTTGGCAAATTCAAGACCATCTACTTGTGCATCTACTTGGTAATGAGGTCAAATAAGGGACTGAATCAGCGAACGGGACCTAAGTTCTGATGAATCTATATAAAAGGAAGCCAAAGGCGGCACTTAAGATAGCAGCTATGAAGGCATTGCTTAATTTTTTCGCAATTAAGGTATGCCTGTCTGACAAGAACATCCATCACGGCATCTCAGTCATTGCATGGGTCAAGCAATTACAAATGCAGCTAGTTATACAGCTTGGTAAAAATCCTGCTCAAAAACCAAAAAATACAATATTCACCAGTTTTGATGTTCCAAATATAAATGATTATTATAAAAAACCGTGATTCAGTGCAACCCTATTTATAATAAACTGCTAAAGAACACATGTCTCATATATGTGCGGCGCGACAGACGAATAGTGATGAGAAGCGTGGGAACCTTTTCGTAGCATAACAAATTCGATCAGAAAGATGATCAGAATAAGGAAATCAAAAAACACTCACTTTGGTAAAACGTATAACCCACAGTCCAGTTGAACCAGCTTAGGCACAAATTTGGGGACTTAACAACCATTTTCAGCCCCCAAAACCGTGGCTGCGCATGTGTATTCTCACAGAAAAGAGGTTGAATCACAACGACGAATGCTACTGATACAAGACACGACTGTGGTGGAAATTCTTAGACCTTCCAGATGTGACACATCGGCGCTCGCGGGGTTCCCCAAAGAGCAGACGACATCTACTGCTTGACCGCTAGGGAAACAAAGCAGACACCAACTCCCGCTAAACGTGCATTTGTCCTGGAATAGTTCAAAGTCAACCGATAGATTGACTGAAGTTGTTTTGGATTAACAGGTTCAAACTCTCCTTGAGTATGTGAGCATAATGACAAACACCATAAGCCTGGAAAGAGGGAACAGATTTACTCTCCAAAATATATATAGGTAGCAAAAAAAGTTAACAGTGGATTCAATTCCAACTCAATTTCGACTTCAAATACTTTTCAATTATGTACGGTAAAAACGGGATTCCCCACACCTCTTATATACTCACCTATAAACGTGCGCTGACATGAAGACAACCCGTTCCCACCACCCAGAGCCACAAAAAAACACTTGTCCTTAAAAAAACTTGCTTACCCTGTTCCATGGTAATACAATCCAATTAACGCGGGATAAATCCATTGACGTGCGGAGGAATGAACAAGTAGGCCAGCCAATCACACAGATGCCCGCTGACCTTGAATGAGAAGATAAATGTAGTTCATGCAGCAAATAATTATCAAAAAAAGCCATTGTACTATGATTAGAACCGAAAACACCGGCGAAAATTAGCTCGAAAATTCGCTACTAAGAATGCATGTCTATACAAGAAAAGAGTAATATTATTAGTGACTTTGATGGTTTTTAATTTATTGTTCAGCACATGAGTGTCTTTCAAAAAATCACCCTAAGTTAGATAGTATATTTTACTTTATTTTGCCACCTAGAAACGTTTTATGTTAACATATATTATTTTACAGTGGGGAAATAATTTGACCGCAGCTTGTGTTCATTTTCAATTTAAGCAATTTTTTATGTTTAATTACCTAACTGGGATATAGTGCCTATGGGCTGCTGTATAGTTTTGTAGATTACTTAATTGCATGCTTCCTAGAATTTGGATTAATATACGCTTTTTGGGGGTGGTTGGTGGACACACCTTACTTTTACCCTTTAGCCACAAGTCATTGCATAGTTATTCCGTGGGAAAGCTGTACTGTCCAATTTGTTATAATATTTGCATCTGTAACATAATTCACGCTCAGCAGTGTGGAGCGAGGCTCCTCGGTCTCCGCTTCCCGATTCCTAGCGTTCCTAGACAAGCCCGGTTAATTTGCTTTGGACATCTTTAGTAAAGGCGACAAGATGGATAGGGAAAATACAATATTCAAGAAGGAGGGGAGCCGCAGTCACTAGGTAAGGGAGAGGACGATCCGGTTACAAAATTTGAATTTCCTGATTGCCTCCTCCCTGAAAGGCACATTAAAACAACATAAGTATTACGGCAGACACTTTACGTTCTGAGCATTCATGGACTTCTGCATTTCTAGTTAAAACATCAGCGCCAGGTTTTGTAATGACCTCAATAATCACCTACCCAAAGTTCAGATTTGGTATGAGTTGGTGTCCCAGGTTGAGCCAAAAGTAAACGAATGGCTTTTTAGGGGCCTGAAAGTGTTTGTTTGAAATGTTATAGCAAACTTTCATGCGTCGCGACTACGTCACCCAAATTTCTGGGTACAGCTTTGATTGAGTTCTTTTCAATGGAACTGTGTGTAATTTGAAACGAGTTGAAGGTAATGCTTAAGATTGTATTTGGGACTCTACTGAGATATAGCTCAATGTTTAACAATAAAAGAACCTGTTTTACATGACTGACCACTTAAAATCACGTCTGCTCCACATGCATCAATTCCCATACGATGCAAACGTTAGTGTTTACTAGGTATAGATGTAAATCTAAAAGTCATCTCATAAAAGTGCCACATTACGTGTAGCGCATTGGTAAATATAAAGTGGAGTTAGTGGAAGGCGTGTGTGATTGTGGCGGTTTCATTACTTTGAATAGGTTTGTGAGGCTTAGGAAGGGTTGGAATAACAACTGACCCATTATTTATCGTCTTCTGCAAGTTTGTTGAAATACAAAAGGCTCCTATGGCGCCATTTGTTCTCGGGAGGGAGAGACCTGCGTTAAAGCTGAGCAGATATTAGGTAGGTAACAAAAGTGATGTGCGACGCGAGGGAGAAGCAGGATCTAACAGGTCAGGTAGTGCGTTATCCGACAAAATCTTGAACAAATCGAAACCAATTTATTCTTCTCCTTACTACTTTTATTTTGGAGAATATTTAATTCCTTGATTGCAAAATTGGTTTTGCTTTCTAGGGCTGTCTGCGAAGTAATAAAAATACTTGCATGCGATGCAGGCGGCGGTGGCTGGGTGCACCAGTAGATTCTTGACAGATTGCCGATTTGGGAGTTGATTGTTCGGTCGAGTGTGGCATTGCGACTGTTGTCTGAGGGAAGTTTGACTATTTTGCAGATATTTGTAGCTAAAGACGCAGCTGCCTTAGGATATGGAGTTGTGAGTGCGGGTGCTGAGCCACTGCATTCGATGACATCGCATTTGTGATGCAAACGAGATCGGTGCGTAAGAAAACCATTTGCTCTGAATTACATTGCCGGAGTATCTGTTCCTTCCAACCTGTCCCCCGGGGTAGAGCGCTTTCTGTCTGCATTCGCTACGCTACTGCAGCTGGCTTTTTGTGGCACTCAAGTTTTCAATGGAAAGTGTGGACAGGAATCGCCCTCTATAGCATTCGCATACTTTGAGTGTTTGCCTTGTGTCGCTCTGCCTTTCATATTACATAATAGCTAAATTTCAGTGTGCTGTTTTTGACCTTATATTGTGCTCATTGTCTTCAAATCAGTGTTGGGTGCAATTCCTGGATGTGGTTCGCTTCTAAGCCGACTACATAACATGTAGTGGTGGTGGTGGCAATTCGTGAGTTTTCGGATGCATAAGAGAGGGCGGTTCCTTGAGGCTGTGTATGACAACTACCCTTGATGCGTTTTGATGGACTGGTGCATGCAGTAAAAACAAAAGTGAGTGTGTCTATCCATTGGTGAGCATTAGATGCCAGCGTCGTATGTAACTTGGGCTCGGATGCAAACGTGATACATTGTATCGGTTTGGAATGTCTACGGTTCGGCTAGGGACAAACATAGAAGAAGTTTTGGTGCTGCTTTCACTAAGGGTAGATGTAGACCATTCTAGGGGTGCCGATGAGTGTTTAAAAGCATCAACTTTGCATCGCAGGCTTTGATATAATCGAAAAGGGAAGCACCTGGAGACTTATTTTTTGTTTGTCTTTCGTCCAAGGTTGATAGCGACCACCGCCTCATCCATCTCTCTGGAGGGTTACTGGTCTCATACCATAAGCACTCTTGTGGTTGCCCATGTTTCCGCCACCACTTTCATCAACTACAACTTATGATTGACGAATATTATTTGACTTTGTGCCGGCTGCAACTAAGACTGACCTTTGGGCTAACTTACACGAAGCATGCAAAGATGTCTAGAAAAGACATCATTCTTTAAACTGTTCTTTGTCAGTGATTATTTAGAATTACATTTCACCAGACCCATAGTATGCTTGTGCGCCAAATGCATGTAACGTGGACCTTGGCTGAAGAATTGTGCATTTTTAGATGGACATTGCTAACCACTCGATGTGAGCAGACCGAGAATATATCCGTTAATGCAATAAAAGCACCACATAGAAGGAAACACGTTAATGAGAGATACAAAGACGGATAAAGCAGTAGTAAAGGTTTAAACTGTCGTCTTTACCATCATTGAGTCTAAAGGGAAATATGCACCGCTGAAGATAAAGGAGGGCATCCGTCCTGCTTCAGACAACACAACCACTACCCACAAAGTTGTGAAGACTACATAGACACAGTCCCCTTTTCTTTTGTACCTCCGACTGATGCTTCTATAAGTCAACCACTTCTGAAATGCACCTACAAACCAGAGAATAGACTGTTGATGGAAAGAAGCCTTGATCATTGCCTAGGTCTTAGTATTCATCCTACTCACGTAAGTCGATAGGCAGGCATATAGGTTGTTGGGACGATAGGTGGACAGGGAGATGGGTGGCAATCGCAACCTATGGCAGATGCATTTTTAACATTTCCCCCATATTACCTGTAATTTATTGAGTGATACCAAGCTAAAGGAGTATTGGAGGCTCGATTTGCAATGATTAGGAAGCCCCTTCAAATTACCTCTAAGAACATTCTCATGTGTCATCGGATCTTGTGCATCCTACGAGTTATTGTTATTAAACAACAACACCGTTTCCTTAATTAAATGACAATAGGCTCTTACTTAACACATGTATGTTTGACGTAAATAACATGTGGACTGCCGAAACAGAAGCTACCACAATGCTGTTCAGACAGAAATATCTGATATGAAAATGGTTTGATCTCAGTAGACGCTTGATTTCATCCAGTGTAAAAGTATGCCGATTGTAGGGAAGAATGGGAAGAAAAGGACACAAACTATGAAACATCTGAAATTGCTGATGAATGTGTGTGGGCAGAAAGTGGTAAAATGCAAAGCACTTTCCATAAGAGCAAGTAAGGAGTGGAGTGGAGAAGAAAGTGGAAAACAAAGGATAACCCTGGCTGTGATTAAAGATAACTTTAATGGGAGGGCGAGAAAAAGGCATGTAATTATGCAGTAGAGACGATCACATAATCTCCTTTCACAGTGAAAGGCCGTAGTGACGGTTTTTCGTCGTCATGTGATGTCTGCATTCCGCGTAGACGCCTGCCGTACCGTCATCTTGGTTCATTTCGGTTCTTTGAAACAGATGAACGTTTGCAGACAAAAGCGGCACCTGAAATTTGTTTGACAATATGTCCATTAACTAAGTACCGTGCTGAGCTCCTGGTTTGTCAGTGTACTGATACCTAATCCAGGTGTCATTTTCCATCTTAATGGCAGGTTTAACTTTGCGGCGTTTGTGTGGAGTCTTGCCGGTGATCTACTAATCGGGTTCTGGCATATATTCACGACGTAGGCATCAATGTATACACGTGTAAGTCAGTGACGTCTCGGCTCATCTCGACTTTTCCCGCAACGACGTCTCCTACTTGTCCCTCAAAGTAATTGCTTGTTGCGTGACCTTGAAACCATCTCTTCATTAACCAACCCACTCATTTCACTTAAGCAGGCTGATCTCAAGTTGTGTAACCAGGAAAAGGAGGGAGATTTAATGATTAAAAGAACACACTAGTACCATTGGGGCGTCGTTCCACTCATTTCATCTTTGCAACCTTGAGTTAACCTCCGAAATCCATGATATTTGTGTAATTTTATTCACCTACAAAAAGTAAACAAATTAGTCGTTGCAAACTAGTAACGAAACTCCTTATTTTAAAATAGATGTCGGACAGAGTTACGCACAGTGCCACTTACGTTATTGAAGTAACTTGAAGTGACCATGTTAAATTAACTGGACGGATCTGAATGCACGCACTGCAATCATTGCGACCTTGTACACTACTTGCCTTATTTTCCTTACCAAAACTAGCTA